AGGCTAATAGATGCTAGACGACACTAACAGAAGCTAACAGACACTAAACGAGGCTAATAGATGCTAGACGACACTAACAGAAGCTAACAGAGACTCTGGTGTGAACGCACCTTTAATGTGAACTGTGCCGGTCCTGGACACTGAGATTCCTCTGGTGTTCTTTGCTTCACAGTAAAACTTGATGCTGCTGTTCATTCCTGCGGAGGTCAGAGGTCACAGGTCAGAGTTTGACTGATGTAGGTGACTGTCATCAGCTGCATTAGAACCATCAACGTCTGTTATCTGTAAGTTTCTCCTTCAGAGGTCTGAACTGAAGCAGGATTTGAGGTTATCAGGTAACTTCAGGTTTAATTCAGAGTTTTCAGTTCTATGAAGCTCGTTCGCTTGTTATCCGGTAAATCACCATGGTAACATGCTGAACAGCTGACCTGCTCCAGGTTAAGTTCGAGATAATAGATCAGAGAGATCAAACAGTATAAAGCTCCGCCCACTGACCACTCCCTTCCTTTGAACCATGACATCATGTTGTTATCGTGGAGCTGCTGTGGATCGTTCCAGTCTCTGAGGAGGACCAGGGTCTTCAGAGACCCACAAGATCCTCTGAGATCCTCTGAGGAGATTCTGAAAGATCTAGATTCTCCTCAGAGGATGAACCTTTGTCAGCTGCTGGAGCTTCAACAGAACCCACCTGACACAATCCAGATGTTTCATCAGCTGGTCTTCCTGCATTTAGCAGCTGGAACTGTTTCTTTTATTCTGGATGTTTGTTCTCCTCATGATGTGAAATCAATCATGTGTCAACAGTTTGATCCTCGTTGTGAAACATGGGGCTCTGCTGTCAGTCAAACTGTCCATGTCTGTGATTGGTCATATGCAGTAACCCCCCCCCCTTTCATGTGCACACACTCAGATCTTAATGAGTTGACTTAACGAGTTGATAACCAGCGTCATGTGACCACCGAGCCTGACTGTGATCGTCAGGTTTAGTTCAGCCGGATAAAGAGATCCTGGATCTGTTGAACAGGGTCCAGCTCACTGACACAATGAATCGACAGGAACATGAACCTGGAACTATGATAATTAATGAACCATGCCAGTCAGTGTTGATGGTTCAGGAGGTTTTTATCTGGATTGTCCTCAGACGTCTCCTCCTCTAAAACAAGCAGCTGATTCACTCCAGTAAAAACACTGAGTGAAGCAGCTTCATGTTCAACTCAGTGTATCTCGTTCCCGCTAACTTTCGCTCAGCTTGTTTCTCTGAAAACTTCAGATCCAGACTGAAATCCTTCATCTGCTTCAAATATAGAAATAAAAAAACACCAAGATCTAAAAAATAAAAATGTGACTTCAAACTGGATAAAAAGTCACTTTTGACTCTTCAGACAAACACTGACACATGCAAGAGGATATGATATGTTTCCCTTAATGTACACACACACACACACACACACACACCTTAAATCAGAAGAATGTCTCACCTTGCACATGGAGGACAGAGGGGGACGATCTGGCCACTCCCTCCTGGACCCCCCCCAGCCACCACAGCACCTCTACTGGCTCAGGGGGGCCGACTGCCTCACAAGTGAGGTTGAACGGCTCATTAGGGAATGTGGCAACATCTTGAGGTTCCTGGAGGAAGTGAGGAACACCTGTAGGAGGAGGAGGACACACTTCAATCTCAGGGAGCTTCAAACTGAGTGATATTACATTTTTCATTTATACAAATATATAATAAGAGCTGTTAGAATTTTCTCAATGATGAGGAAAGGAGCCCCAATGCTTCCTAACTTATCTCCTAACTCTCTCCTTTCCTAACACCTTACAGAATCTTGGTAAGAAAAGGACATAATTCTTTCCGGCCGCAGCAAGAGTCACTCAGGGTCACATGATGTGAAATCAATCTTGTGTCTTCAGAGTCACAGCAGACTGCAGGAAAACACAGGCCCTTGTTGGAGTATTGACTCCGTGATGCATTCATGTTCCTCACCTTCCACCGTGATCCAGGCTCGTTCAGAGGAGATTGTCAGGCCGTGGAACTCCACCTCACACCAGTACTGGCCCGCATCTTGCTGCTGGACTGACTTAAAACTGGAAATAAGAACACACAGAACCTTAGAGCACATATAATGATGTTGACAGTGATGGTGATAGTGACTGAGTGTGACAGTGATAGTGATGGTGAGAGTGATAATGAGAGTGACTGAGTGTGACAGTGATAGTGATGGTGAGAGTGATAATGA